CAAGTATGCTACACACAAGGAATTTGTTTCCGTTACAGAACCGAGGCAGCCATCTGCGGCGCCACCTCAACCGATGGCTCTAACCATCGGAGGCAATGGGGGGGTTCAGTGTCTTGCCCAAGGATACTTTGACATGCGGACTGCCGGCACTGAGATTCAATGGTTGGGTGATGACTGCTCTACCCACCGCACCACTGTCATAAATAACAGATTTAAATAAAATGTATACAATGTAAAAATGCTAGTAATATTTATGATCATATTATTTATTTATTCAGGTCAGAAAGCTCACCTTAGGGAGTGGAAATGGTATGATCCACTGTACTCTAAGGTGTGTGTGATATTGTACTTTTTCAGAGAACAAATGTTGCCTCTGTTTAAAGTACACTGTTCAAAGTAAACTAAAACCTTAATTGCGCATGTAAACCTAAAAACATTTGTTGTTGCTTCTGGGGGAGCTCGGGTCTCTTTTTAGAGACCCCATACTGCTCCCATACTGTAGCTGGCAGAGAGCTCCTAAACTGTCTTTCCTGACTGCAGCTTCCCTGCCCCCTGCTCCCATTATCTGTACAGGCAAGACCCAGTGCATCTCAAGTAATTTGAGAGAGAGGGAGAATAGAGTACCAGCAGTTTGTGAGAAGGGCCGTTACACAAGAAAAAGTCCCAGTACATGAAAATATAAAATTTAGAAGTGCTGATACTGCATACCAGCCCACGTCAAGCACTAGCCCTGCATGACAGCCATAATCTAAGTATCAGACCCTGGGTGTTGCTGTAGATGGGGCAACATTTATAGTTTCACTTACTATAAAGGTGATTATCCTTATTATAATTATCCTTATAAAATACTAATAAGAACTTTCCCAAAAAAATCCACACACTTCACATGTTGACCTGAGCACTGCAGACAATGTGATGGGAGTCTACCAGGGACTCAGAGAACCACTAACAAAAATATACTTAACCAGTTTCTTTCTCTGTTGCAGTGGAATTGGAGAGACGCATCGACTATGAGCTGCGGGAGGGCTTGGTGGAGAGCCGCTACTGGTCAGCAGTGACCTCGCACACAGCCTACTGGTGCTCTTATGATGTGGCTTTGTTTCTCATCACCTTCATGTACCAACCACAAGAGTTGCCTGAACCTGCAGAAGACAACCATGACATCTCATAGCATAAGTGCAAATTGACACATGGTGGGGGTCAGTTCACATTCTATTCACATCTTCTGAAATGTGAACAGAAATCCCAGTTTATGGAACTAGTGAAAGAGACTTCATTCTTGATTTCCTAATTTCTTAAAATAATGATTTGCTTCACACAACTCTGAAATGTGAAATATTAAATATACATATTATTATGAGAGATATTGAAGACTAATATTTATTTTGTATTATGTTTGTTTTGTTTGACAAAAATGTTGTGGACAAATATGTTTTTAATATTGCAAGTTAACCTAATATGAACAAACTATAATCCAAATGATAATGATTGGTCCATCCATCCATTCATTTTCTTTTGCTTATCCGAGATCAGGTTGCAGTGGCAACAGGTGCTACTTAATTATTTGTTACTATAATTTGTGCACAAGGTTATTTGTTTTCATTTCAAACTGAAATTTCAATATGTTGTACAGTGGGTACCCACAAATGGCAAATGAAATGACTGAAAGATTTCATTTTAATATTAGCAGTCCTGGGTTTCCATATGCTGTGAGAAGAGTAACCATTATGATTGAAAATGAATTGACCCAACACGGACAAGCACATCCAAATTAATTTACAATACCTGTTTTACTGTATGTGTTTTACACAAATTCCTCCCAGTTTACACAGTATCCTTGATGTACATTGAGGTGCTTGTGCTCAAAGCAATGAGGTGTCACTGTTTCCAACAACCAGCATTTCATTTGCAAAGCCCTGCTGTGGGCTGTATTCACTGAAGGTTACTTGTCTGACCACAGAACTCCGCTGGTACATGAGTGTGTGATGGTGTTGTCATGGTTGGAGACAGTCATGGGTGTACAGGATGAAGAGTTTGGGGCTGAGACAGCAACCCTGTGGTGAGCCTGTGCTGATTGTGAGCTCAGCAGACACCCGCCCTCCCATTCTGACCACCTGTGGTCTTCCAAGTCAGGAAGTCCAGAATCCAGTTACAGGTGGCCTCTAGACAGCCCTGCAGGCTGGCCTGTGCACAGTTGTTCCAGGTATTAACAGTTCTCACTGAGACTGGTTTCGTCTTGAGTCGTTTGGTGTAAGCAGGTTTTAGCCAGATTGCTAGGTGTCAGATCTACCAAAATGAGGCTTAGATTCAGTTGAGAAAGCGTTTCTAATGTTATTTTAACATTGGTCCAGTGTTTTGTTTCCTCTAGTAGGAAAGGTTCCAAACTGATACACTTTAGGCTTTTCCTGAGATTGCAGTGGTTAAAATCTCCCAGAATAATAAAAGCAGCATCAGGATATGTTTTCATGCTCAGTAATCATTCTGTACAGTTCCTTTAGTGTAGCTTCCTCTTTGCCTGAGGGGGGGCATACACTACACTCATAATGATACATTGCAGCTCCCTAGGTAAATAAAATGGCCTTAGCTTTATTGTTAAATATTCCACATCTTCAGAACAGAATTTGGAGATAATCTTACAGTCTGTGCACCAAGACTGTTTGATGAAGGTGGCTGTTCCTCCTCTGCAGGTCTTGCCTCTTTCAGCGGCGCTGCAATCCTGTCTGAACACAGAGCAACCATCCAGAGTTATACCCTCATCGGGAGTCTCTTTTCCCAGCCATGTTTCACAAAAACACAGCAGGGAGCAGTCCTGTATGTCCTTCTGCGAGGTAACGAGCGTGGAGTTTGGCCAATTTATTATCCAGAGACTGGACATTTCAAACAGTGTAGTGGGGAGGGCTAGCCTGCCGCTGCTAACCAAGCAGTGGAGCCTCCGTTTGACTCCCCCCCCCGCCTCATCTCTGCTTTTCCATTTTCCTGGGCTGGATATCCATGAAGAAAAAGTTGCATCAGAGATTTGTTCTATTTCATGTATGCTTTGCCCTCCTGAAGAGATTCTTTCGCGCCCTGCGCCCTGTGCCCTGCGCTCTGCACTGGGCTGTCCCCAAACAGGTCCACTGTGGTGACCTAAATGCCAGTGTGACCTGTGATTGGCTCCCTCTTTTTCTTCAAGCAGTCTAAAGAGCATTCCTATCATCAGAATGGCTAAAGAGCAAAGATGTGCCAGCACCGGACACCATCGCCGCACAAGGTCTGCCTTGGTGCTGAACACGCCAAGCTGGCCCTCAGGCCGCTTGCCCCTTCTCTGCTTGCCTGCCTGTGGCAGAGAAACAGCAATGAGCTGAGGCTTTTGCCATTGCTAGAGAGCAGGATCCGGATGATTACAACAGTTGGGCGAACCACGGTGAAGATCCCCTGGCGTTCCTCGGTGTGGGTGGGCCTGAGTCCATTGATTCGCTTCCTTTCATTGTCAGCTCCCCTGGTTCTCCCCTCGATCCTCTGGTTGACATGGACGCCAGTGGAGATGAGCTTCCTCAGGCTGAGCAGCATGCTCCCACCGCCAATCAGCATCCGGATTTTGGGGCTCTGCTTTATGACCTGCTGGTCATCAAAAAGGTGGCAGACTGTAAGGGCATCCCTGTCCCACTGGCTGCCCCCCTCCCTCCATCAGATATCACAGGGAATTTCTAGAAGTCAGAGCAGCAGAGCAAGCATCCTGCCATCCAGCCCTTCTTTTCTGAGGCAGCTGAGCAACCTGGGAACCTATGGGCTCCGATCACCCGCTTCGAGCCACTCACCAGAGTCCAGGGGATGACTGACCTCAGCTTCCCCACCATCTCACCGCTGGAAACGAGCACCTCCTCCATCCTGCTCCCTTTGGCAGAAGACGGCTGACTCCTCTGCTTCCTCGTGAACAGGTCACCGCCCGCCTCAGGAACTACATTCATGAATGTGTCTCCCAGGCCGGGGCACCAATCAACAACATTGCTGTCCTCTCCACATCTGTTTCCTTCGTTGCTGCCTAGCCCGGGGCTCTACTCGGGGATGCCGTTACAAATATACAGTACATACAGAAATGTTGATTATTTATTTATTTATTTATTCCAAGCATGTAATAAAAGAGAGAAAAAGAAAAAAAAGGAAATCAACATGTAACACAAAACAACCAAACCAATTACCATATACAACCAAAAAAAAAAAAATAGAAATTTCTCTTGATAATGCTTAGTCATTACATGCTTGCAAGGGAGTAGAAAGAAGCAATACTTATCTAGTTCTACCCCTAGTGATCCAAACTATGGTTGACACAACCCAAATATTTAACTAAACATCTACACTGGTTAAATTCCCGCAACCACCAAATTACTACATTCCTTCTAATCACAAATCACAATTACATAATTAGCAAACAAATGATAAACAATAAATTATTCATATCCCACCCATAAATACACCGATAATAACTTAATAAGATCATTACACTTCCTGTATCCGATACCCAGCTATGCAGGCCTTTTTATATTTATTCTTAAATTGTTTTACACTTGTACATTGTTTTAAATCATCACCCAATCTATTCCATAATTTTACACCACTCACAGATATACAAAAACTTTTCCTAGTTGTACGTATGGCCTGAGTTTTTAAATTTAAGTGGCCCCTCAATCCATAACCACCCTCTCGATCACCAAACAGACCCCGAATACCACTTGGCACCAAATTATATCTGACTTTATACATAAATA